AACCCTATATTTTACGTTTTAACTCAGCACACCCTCCCCACGTAATGAAGAATATCCCCCCCTCAGCACTTTTACGAGCGGTTAGAATATGTTCCCATAGAGAAGATTTAGAAAGAGAAATAGAAAAAGTTAGAATAACCCTTCTTTTGAATAAGTACCCCCCAAATTTTATAGATAAACACTTTAAGAGATTTTTTGAAACATTGACAGGGCAGAAGGATAAAAAATTACTTCTTAGCACGAGACATAATGAGTATAGGGACAAGGTCTTAGACATAGGATGGAATAAAAATGAGAAACCCGGGATTAACTTTAGCAGAGATATCATGGTCCATTTTACGTATACCCCGAGCTTGGCCCGCTTTGGATCTAGATTTCATCAAATTTGGAAGGAAAGCTTTGAGGAAACCCCACTGAGTGACATCCCAGTAATCTTTGCCCATAAGTTAACAGATAATTTAAAAAGTATACTAGTTCATAAGAAACCCCCTAAAGCAGCGATTAAGGCATTAGTTGAGAACTTAGAATAGGATTGAGATAGAGGAATAGAGGCCCCTTCCCGCTTGCTTTTTTGTTTTCTATAGTAGTTACGTCAACAATATCGACGACAAGAACGAAGGACCTGGCCCCTTATTGTTTTTTAGTCTTTCGCTCTTGTATGTTTTGTAATCTTTTGTTGACCTGTTTTTCGTTTTGTTGTTTTGTTGTTGTCTGGACTTTTTTATAATTTTGTGAACTTTTTCATGTGATAGGGATATTTTGAGCTTAGTCCCTCCTTGGCACCCACACTATCGAGATTGTCCTTGAGAGATAGAAAAGACTAAGAACGGACTAAGAATAGATAGAATTAAAAGAAAGAGAACGACATCTATCCCCCTCCACTGAGAATAGTGGCCCCAATTAAGAATAGAAAGAATTCCTATTGGACGAGAAGAGAAGAAAGAAACAATTCCCATTAGACGAGAGTAGAAGAAAGGATTGAGATAGAGGAATAGAGGCCCCCTTCCCGCTTGCTTTTTTGTTTTCTATAGTACTTACGTCAACAATATCGATGACACGAACGAAGGACCCGGCGCCTTATTGTGTTTTAGACTTTCGCTT